CTATAGGCTAATTTACGGTAGTTTCTCAAGGTATACAATTGTTAGGGGTAGGGAATACCTAACATCCGAAAATTCAGTTTCTGATTCCTCATATTTTTTACTTGCTTGTCTAGGAGTGGCGTTATCCCTAGCGCCATCCGCCGTTGAATACAATAGCTTTAGTGTAACAATTCACGACTGAACTCAAACAAGGCTTTATAAGTGGTCTAGTGAATACCTTGTATCGTCCATCGTTGTCTTTTGGAGAACTTTTCACCTGCACTCTTTATTACTAGTAATGTGATCTAGTTTAGATCTTGGTAATAGCGCATCCCCGGATGCATCAAATAAATAAATATTTATGCTTCGCCTTATAATAAACATGAGTGCTTACGTCTACAGTACGCATCTCTTGTCTGCTTCATCCAGTGCATTGCTATGCCAAGTCGACTCATTTGGTGTTCAGGAATCTGAAATTGGAATATAAAATCCGAGATGTTTTCAATTGTGTGTATGTTACGACCTGTTTGCTGTAGTCAAAATGTCCTACCATGACAAGACCGTTCCATGTACCTTGAACAAATTTAACTAATTGAATAGCCGCCATGTTCACTTCTGATGGAAGGCTAGGATCCCACGTGATGTTGCGCACGTTTTGTGCGTTTCGGGATGGTTCTATAAAAAGTATTTCATTTTGGATGTGGGAAGTTTAAGTACGTCTTCAAGTGGAAGACATCTGTAGCATTTCGCGTAATTGTGAGCCTGGCTCACAATACGCGCGTATTACGTGAAATGCTCCATTGAAATCGCAAACTTCTTTTACATCAGCTCTCACTGCTACTTGCTACCTCTCGTCCTTCTTCTTTCTTTTCCTGAGGACCCTTCAGTGGAAACTTCCACATCGGCGCAAAAGTACAAATGAGAAATCAAACTGTATTGGGCGGTTATTTGCTTCAGCCAAAGATGTTGGCGAAAGAGTTATGGGATCTATTGAAAACCACCTTACTCGTGCTATCTTTATGAAAAT